CAAAAATTGGGCCTCTAAAAATTTAATGTTTAGCTTGTAAGTCTGGAAGTTTCATATCCAAGAATGACGATAACTGAGTAAATAAATCTACAAAGACTGTTTTCGCTAAACAGGAAATGTCACAATTTTTAATTGTTTTATAAGGTTTAAACGTGAGGAATAATAGGTTGAGGCCGAAGTTTTAAACGCGAAAACACGTACGTCGGATGTTTAGCGCCGCTTTCCTGTAAGCCTAGAAGTTTGACAATGGCGTTTGGAATGTCGAGCATGATTCCACTGACTATACAAACACCATTGTCAAACTTCTAGGCTTACAGGAAAGCGGCACTGAACGTCTGACGTACACGTTTTCGCGTTAAAACTTCGGCCTCAACCTCACTAATAACAGTAATCACTCGTTATATCGCGCTTGTCGGAAGACACAGAAAAAGCGCGCTATAAGAGTACTTAGATTCTGGGCTTATACTAAACAGATTATACATGTTATGAAAAATTTCTATCATCAGCAAGTGTCTTTGTGCTTAGTTTTGCAATATTCGTGTTGTATTAATTGACGTTTACATAAACATCGATACCACGAACGCACATTTAGCATTATTATTTCTTAAACAATGACATTTAAGGACAAGTACTGTCGACATAAAAAAATATCGGTTACAATTTTATTGTACAGTATTATATTTTATAATAAATCGCTTATTAAAAATTTGTGTAATTTATATTTTACAATTAAAATCTATACTAATATTATATAAAATCTAAACTAATATTATAAAGAGTAATGTTTATATGCAGCAGGTAATCTCCGAAACTACTCATCCGATTTCAAAAATTCTTTCGCCAATATTTAGAATGGAACTTCAGGATGGACATAGGCTGTATATTATTCTGTTAAACATTCATATAAATTAAAAGATATAATCTAGGTTAAGGCTTTTATGTCCAACAGATGGCGCTACGAGTACGACGCCTTAAGTTTGCTTTTCTGTGGAAATGAACTAAAGCGGATCATCATCTATCTATCTATATAAATAAAAATGTAATGTTCGTTTGTTCCTGCCGATTCCTTTGAAATTTTGACACAACGCTGCATTCGAATACGCACGTGTTTTTATATAATATACATGTCGAAATTCAACCCCATTAAGGGAGATGGTTAGGATTAAGGCTTACCGTAAAGAACTCTGCTTCTATTTATACTATTTTAGATGCGGGTTTTTGCGGTTTTGATTGCGTTTTAATAGGGTACGTCAAGAGAATGTACACTAAGAAGAAATTTTTCGATATTCTCCCCGCGGGGGGGAGAGACAGGATTAAGGCTTACCGTGAAGAACTTGGCTTCTATTATACTATTTTAGATGCGGGTTTTTGCGTTTTAATAGGGTACGTCAAGAGAATGTACACTACGAAGAAATTTTTCGAAAAATTCCCCCCACGGGGAAGTGTTATAAATTTATAATAGATACTGTACATTTTGAGCCACAACAACGCGTGGCGGGGTCTGCTAGTTATAAATACAGTAAGTAATTGAATATTTAAAAAATAAATATGGAGCATATAATAGAACACTAAAACAAGAGTATGGAATAAAAATTCTCTAAAAACAAAATAAAGTTGCTATGTAAAAATTTTAGAACTTTCCGTTTAGAAAAAAGTCTCTTTCTTACACATTACGCCGTGAATTCGAAATTTCACATGATCTTGTAAAGGAGACAGTACTTAAAACCAATAAATAAACTTTTAATATTGAAAGGAGACAAATGATAATTGATCTAGCCACCTGTTTTGCTTATTTAGATCTTGAATTTATTGTTTCACTTGCTGTGGTAATTTCAAGAACAATGGTGGGAACAAAGTACCGTATTTCGTTGTAAAAAGAAATTCAATGGCAATTATTTAAAATTTGGGGACCAAAGAAGTAACGTTATAACGAGAGGCTACTGTATTAATAATGATGCGTTAAAATAATAAAGTTACACACAAAATTAACTTAATTAAACCAAAACTCCGAAGGTTTGAACCTACATCTAGTTCCAATGCGTAGCGTCTTATTCGCTCAGCTACCTGAAAACTTGAAACTTCCAAAGACTTACAAGCTAAACACTAAATATTCAGAGGCCCAATTTCTGGAAATGCTTGAGAAGTGGGTTCTATTATTTGGACAAGGAGCTATTTTTGTTGAGGGCTACGCGCTCACCAAGTTTCGCTGGTCCTCCTTTGCTAGCAATAGGAATCATTTCTCAATAATACATTTGATCGCAATGTTTACACAGTATTTTACATGTTCTGCCTTGTCAAAATTTTTTAGTCTACTGAAAAAAGAACAAAATGAAACGAGCGATTATTTATCGTGACATCGTCACATGCCTAGCTGCAATTTTTAATTTATTAAATTTAAAATATATGCTCTCCACCTCAAATTAGTAGTGGCTTGCCCCTGTACATCATACTTTTCCTTTTAACGACAATGTCGTGCCGGTTATCTATTAACTGCTTTCAGAGGGAAGTTTGAATTGAGATAACGTGACTTCCGATTTTCATCCGACGTTCGCATGTAGTTCGCCGGGGCCTCCAACCCACAAAGTTTTCATATCTGGTGTCGGATTTTAATCTAACTCTCTTCTCGAGATTAAGGAAAGATGGACAGACGACAGTGGGAATTTATAGGTCTACAATTTTTTGAAATTGCAGCCCAAAATTTTTGTCAGTCAATTTAAGAAAATCCCAATCTTGAAACGCTGGGCGGTGTTGCAAAAACTGCCTTCGATTCTCAATCTCACTTCCTACTTTTCTTCCCGAAATTGCCGTGTGACATCATTAAATCGCTAGATGATGTACGTAAGCTCGACATTTTGCTGTTTCTCCCGAAGTGTGATTTGTGATTCAATTTCACACTGAATGTGGAAACAAGCGGACTAGTATTTTATCGCCACTTGCTATTGCCAGTATTATATTTTTATCGCCATTTTTAATAAAAATATAAAGTTTTTTTTTTTTTTAAATAAAAATTATGCCAAATGCAGTTTTAGATGTTGCCGGGAAAGTTAAACAACTCGTTGCTGGATTTTTAAAATTATAACGTAGCTGTTTGTATAGGTGTCAAAATGGAAAATGCTTCTTTAATCATTCTGTTCTTTTAGTATTTAATGTAATTGATATTTATAATTCACGATGTCTACAAAGAGGCATTGTATAAATTAATATCATAAATATTACGGTAGCATTACTATTTGAGTTTTCAATCAATTTATCTTCCACACTAAATAGAAACTTAAATGCATTTTACTAATACAATTAAATCTTGTTACACAGAAATATTGGAAGAATTGTGAGCAGAAAAGTTTTTCCAGGTGAAATCTGTAACTTTTATAGTTACATGAAATACAGAATTAATATAGAAACTCCAGGTATTTAATTTTTTTCCACTAAAATAAGTGTTTTAAAAAGAAGAAAAAAATTGATCGATATATCAAGGGCAGTGTGGTGGTAGGGCACCTTAATGTTTCATCATCATTGTCACACTTTTTGAGAAATTTCCAATCCAAATTACTCTAGCCTCAGTAGTTTAACCCGGTTCGATCTTACGAACGGGTTATAAATATGTCATAATCATCATATGATCAAAATTCAAAATATGAGAGAGGGGAAAAAAATTGTGCCCCAGGTGAGGATCGAACTCACGACCTTCAGATTATGAGACTGACGCGCTGCCTACTGCGCTACTGAGGCACGTCTGTGGATACTTGTCTGTTACTTTATGTAGTTAAACTTAAATAAACAAATTCAGTCGACTTTTAATCAAGGCGAGCATATATACTGCTTATAATTAGCATTTATTCACACTTTATAATTATGAAATAAGGGACCATAATCAAGTGTACGGCTTAAGACGGTGGTGAAAAGTACAGGTTGTATACGATGGAGAGGGATTATACGATGGAGAGGGATTGGGACGAGGCATTATCTACGTGGACTTTTTTGTGATATTAATTGTTTACGAATTCGTTCTTATCGTGCTTGCTAGTCGCTATAAAAAGATTTGCAGAAGTTTTTAAAGATGTATTACTTCAATGTTAAGGGCTTTATGAACTAGTGTATACGTAAATAAAGGGGGAGATTTGCCAAAAGCACTACACGACAGGGAAGGAAGGGCTAAAAATGGTATGTAATTAATGGACGGCCTCTAGGCACTGTTAATACCAATAATGAATTATTTTACTAAAGTATAATTTATTAATAGTTTATTATTAAGATAAAATAATTTGACATCATTCTATTCAAATAAATTCTATGGATTTTTAAAAAGCTAACATTAAAATAAATTTTATGAGAAATTACGTTTATTTACAGTGATTTATATTCATAAGTTCATTTCTGATCTATTTTAGTAAAATATAAGTTTAAGATTCGATTATCTTCTAAAATACATGTAATTAAACAAAATGAATTTGTCAAAATTTCAAAATTAGAAGTGTTTAAAATTCTCAATTTGTAATTTTGAAAGACTATTTTACAAAAATAAATAAATAAATTTTGTCTAAAAACACGTGGAAGTTTTTTCTTGTGATTATTCATTAATTAATACTTTTATTTTCTGCCAATTTGTGGGAATTTTCAACTGGGCGCATTCCTACAAAAATTATATACGATAAATTGTTAAGTAAATAACATCTGGACATGTTATGTTTACATTGTAATTTGAAATAGTTCTGCTGCAAATGGAATTATTTCTCCAACTTTTAAATAATAATACGTTTAATTTTTTATAATGGTTTCCGAAAGCGTTACCAGAATTTTTGAATCCAAATAGAGTTAAAAACTTTAAAATAGTTCTCTATAAGAAAGATTAATATTAAAGGTTAAACTTTGGTTATTTTAAAGTAAATTTGAATATTTATTTTTTTAACCACCCAGAAACATCTCGTGACATCAGTTTCTTTTAAGCCAATAACATTCTTTTTGACAAGTACGAACTGACTAAAAATAACTTCCTCTTCTCGAATATCTTCTTCCTTCTGTTATAAATACAAGCCAAAAGACACGACGGTGGATATTTTTTAATTCTTTCTTGCAAGAAACGCATAGAAATATCTTAAATGTCACGTTCTCTGGTTCCTACGTTTTTTAACCGAGATTGGTGGAGCGGTTACGATTATCCACCTCGTCTTCTCGATCAGCATTTTGGTTTGGGATTAACAGATGATGATCTCTTCCCTCCCACTCTTTACAGAGGTATGGTCATAAGACCCAGACGGCAAACAAGTCGTCAGGTATCAAATTCGGGTGTTTCGGAGATTGTTAACACTTCCGATAAATTTCAAGTGAGTTTGGATGTAAGTCATTTTAGTCCCGAAGATATTACAGTCAAAACGGTGGATAATTGCTTGATGGTTCACGCCAAACACGAAGAGAAGGTGGATCAACACGGATTCGTTTCTAGAGAATTCACGCGGAAATATATTCTACCTAAAGAAGTGGTTCCTGAAAGTGTCGTATCATCATTATCTCCCGATGGAGTTCTTACTATAGAGGCACCGAAACATTCGCAACAATTGCCATCCAACGAGAGACTTGTGCCCATAACAAAAAGAGAAGCTTCGGCATTACCCAGCAAAGAATAGGAAAATTCAATGCGTTATCCCTTACAGAATGTGAGTGGATCCATTTGCTTATTTATTCGAATGATCCACATGCTTCATTTTTTACTATTTAACTTAAAAAAATTGTTATTGCACTGTAATATTTATAATAATGAAAAAATTATAATAGGTAATTTGAATTATTAATATAATGATTTTTTATTAAGCAAATTATGCTAAATTTTATTTTTAAAATGTTAATAAAAATATACCATTGTATTAGCTATTTGCACCAATAAATAATTTTAACACTCATATAAAATGTTTTTGTGTTATTATATAGCCTATGCTTTAAAATAAATAAAAGATTAAAATTAATAAAATTTTAATAACAACACATACAAAATGAAGAAATATTTGCTTTAAAAGTTTGTTTAAACATTTGTTTATCTTTTATGTAAAAAAGTAATTTTTATAGAGAATAATCAGTTTTTAAAAACTGTTCTCGAAATAGTTTTGAACTTAACTCACTGCATTAGAATTCCTTTCTAAATTAGTTTCTTCACAGAAAGATAAATATAAATCGGGTATGAAGTAGGAAAATGCTACATTTAAGACCGAACTGATATGAAATTTATATTTTGTCACTGAAATAAATTTTATAAAATTCTATTCTAAAATTCAGGGGTGGGGGAATCTGTTCGCTTGAATATTCAAATTTATTTATATGATCAAACTACATTTTGAATCATTTATTTTATATACTGTACTCGGGAGTAATTAAAATTTGGGAAATCCGAGCAAGAGGCGAATAAATTGTTTTTCTTTTTGAGATATTGAAATTATTTTTGTGTTTATAATGAAAATAATTCTTTTCTTCTAAATTCCTCGAAAGAATAAAAAATGGCTGAAATGAAGCAATATAATATATCACACTTGTCAAGAAATGTCATGCATTCTTATCGCTCTCCGATTTATGATCATTTAAAAATAGTATCAAAATGGATGTAAATCTTCAACCTTTTTAAAGAATTTTATTGAAAATTTAAGAGGATTCCATAAAAAAAAGTTAAGTAATTTGCTAATAAGATTGACACAGAAAAAATAAATTTATTATTATGAAATAAAATCATAATGAATGCTAAAAATTTTTTTAAACTTGACAAATATTTCACAAATTTATTAAATTTTAAATAATTTTTAACATTGTTGACTTCAAAAGTTTTCCGAGAAAGTAACAACTTTAAATATTGTTGCATAATAAACAAATGTTAAGCTGATAACGGTAATCAGACAAGTTTTTATCTCTCGAATAAAATTAATTTTGATTTTAAAAAATTAATTCCAATTTCGATAATTAAGAGATAATCTAAACAATTTATTTATCAACGTACTAGCTGAGGTACTCGGATTACTTGGGAAAATGATATACAGTATAATCGAACCTCTTTAATCCGACATTTTCTTTATTCGGATACAACGTCCTGAAACAATTTTAACGTCTGTAGAATTAATGTACATTAATTATATGGATTATACTTGTAAATAATCTAACCATCTGAATCTAGTCTGAATTCCGATACTATTTCATTCTATAATAACACAATACAGTAATAAAATTTCCTTTCTAATCTGACAATTACCTCGGGAGTGCCATATATAGTCCTATGAAAAGCCACAGGTGGTGTGTGCACATACAGTATAAATCCATTAGGATAATGAGCTTGTTACTCCGCTGTCAAAGACCTCAGCGTTGATATTTTTATTCCTTAACTACGGTTTTCATGAATCCGAGTTGCAGCAATTGCCAACAGATTACCAATTGTCAACGTGCAGTTATTTATTGTGACATCGTCACAATACCGGGCTGCAATTTTGAATCATATTTTAAATTTATTTAATTTAAAATATATGCTCTCCATCTCAAATTATTAGTAGTGTCTTGCCTCTATACATCATACTTTTCCGTTAGCAATGGAGTCGTGCCAGTCATCTACTAACTGTTTTCAGGGGGAAACTTTTGAATTGAAATAATTCCGATTTGCATCAGAAGTTCTTATATAGTTAATCGGGGCCTCCTGCCCTAACGTTTCCATATCTGGTCTCTCTGATTTCATCTATCTAACTTTGTTCTCGAGATTAAGGAAATACAGACGAACAGTAGGAATTTATAGGTCTACATTTTTCAAATTGCAGCTCAGAAACAGATATGCTAGAGTTTGAAGAAATAGTTGTAACAAAGATATTGTTTATCAGATCGGGAAGAATTTATTACAACATAACTGTCTTTAAGTACTGAATGAAAACAGACAAAAGCTACGAAGAGGGGGAAAAATAAATGAAATAATTATGAGTAGTGAAAGTATTAAAATTAATAAATAAACTTTGTTCTTTTTCTTGAGAAAGAACCATCTTTGTTAAATCAAGTGTTATCTTCAAAGAGAGATGTTGAAAAGTGTCACATAAACAATATAAGATTTCTAACAGTTTAATAAAACAATTTAAACACTTTTAGAGTAATGTTTCAGTAATCAACAATCCCGATAATCGGACATACATCTTTGGTCTTGTGAGTGTCGAATTACAGATTCGACTATATTACGTTTCTGATGTAAAAATAATTTTACATCGGAGGAAATTCTAATGATTTATTGACGATCCGGTATAGGTAAAAATGGCAATGGTCATGCGCTCAGTACTGTCAAGGATGTTTTGTTCAAAAAACAGGCTGATCAATAAACTTTCATTGACCATCTTCATTGATGTCTACATTCGCCCGATAATGACCAGTCTATTATATTATATGGTTTATTTCGTACTCACCAAGCCCACCAGTGGCCAAGCGGTTCCGTTCCTTGAACACTAAGAGTTCGATTATGGGTTCATGACTCGCCAGGACAAGCTGGCCACATGGCGTTTTCCGGATTTTCTCCAGTTCTATAAGCCTTGAATAGGATCCAGTTATCCTTAAAAAGACCTCTCCCTAGGCAGATCGCTCGACTGTTGCGTTGCCGTAATTTAACATAACAAACAATTATCTCTTGGAAGATTTATAAAGAAAACACCAGACACTAATGAATAAAAATTAAATTTTTTGAAAACCCTTTTTGATGTTCTTTTTACATTGCTATACTTTCGTACATTTCAACTTTCATACACATTTCAGGAACCAATTAGGTACGAAAGTAGAAGACCACCTGTATTTTCTCAAAAATTACACTATAAAAAAAGACATCTTAAAAATAATTTTGCTTTTTAAATTTCGTTAGAATTACATTCAGATTAAAGAATAAAAGTGCTAATGCCTAAAGAAATTTTTTTTTTTTTTTTAAATTGTAAATTAAGCTGCTAAGTTAAACATTTTTAATTATTATTGCAAGCATTATTTTTAATAGAATTTTAAAAATGATTTTCCACTTTTTACTATAATAAAAGTGTACACTCAATAACATTTTTTAAAATTATTTTTATTGATAACATTTTTTATTAAAAATATAAAAATATTTCACAAATTAGAAGAAGCAATAAATGTCTTCATATTCTGACCCTTTTAAACACGTTTTTATTTAACTTGTTTCGTATCAAGTCTTCAAATCTTGCAACTCGAATTTCATTCACTTCCAATTAAGATAGAAGACCGAAGATTTGAGGACACACCTAAATCCCATGACAATGCATTTTGATGATATTTTAGAGGAGCGGTCCACTCACCATTTACATCCTGAAACCCAATAAACATAACAAAATGTAAAATTTAATCACGTTGTGTGTGTTCGTAAATGTACTATACGGTAGTAATATTTATGGTGGGATGTCACCATCCGCACCCCAATCTCGAAAGGCATTTGTGAAATTTTGCATTTTAAAGTATATTTCTTCTTATCATTATTTCAGCAACAATATTTATATACATATATATACTGTACATATAATATAAAAATATAGAAAAAGTATAAAGGCTGATTAACTTTCGAGACATCTTGTATTTGAAAAGTACAGAATGGCTCAAAAGTCAGTTAATGTACAGTACAGATATAATTATTTTCTAATTTAAATATTTTAATTAGAAGATATGATTTTAAACATATTTAACAGAATGTCTTTTTTTTTTAGTGAACTGTGTACATTGTAATATTTTTGTTTTTGGAACAACTAATTACATTTGAGTAAAAGTTATTTGATACACAAAGCTTTAACTTTCAAAGAGTTTAAAATAAATTTGGCATGAAACGAACAATCACCTACAGAGAAAAAATTCTGGTAAAAAAAAAACTTGTATAATAAATTAAATTGTATAGTTAAATTATTAATAAATTAGAAATCAATTGTACTTGTCTTGAAGCTTTTAGTTTTAAGAAGGTATAGTTAAAAAAGTATTCATCAATTGAGCAATATATATACATACATATTTGGATTGATAAACGTTTAAAACTCTATAACTATTTCCGTTTCCTAACCTGTCCAAGCTTCTATTCTTTATTACATATACAGTACTGATATAGTTCTGTAATAAACAGGAAATGTTCTATATTTAGTATGTTTAAAGAGAAAAAGACGGTTTCAATAATGACGTTAACAATTCAATACAACTCAGTTAAACATTTTCATTTTATAACAGATGTAAGTAAAGCTTGATTTTAAAACAAAATTTAAAATGTTAGTTAAAAATGTTATTGCTGGTTTTTTTATATTTTGTTATATATTATCAGTATAATTTCATTTTTTAAATTTAAATAATTATATTTGAATTGTTTCCAAGTTGATGCACAGTTTTAATCAATAGTATCTGATTCAAATGTGTTAATGCATGTGTTTAAAAGATAGACAATGAGTCACGAACTTATAAACGTTCAACTTCATTTTATGAAAGAGTTCTGCATTATAAGTAAAAATCATAGATTAATTGCAATCCGATGAAGAAGCACTTTAATGATTTACTTAATAAAAGATAAACGATTCTCAGACCATAAATATTCGTTTGTCTTGTTAAGGATGATACAATTTTTATTATGTCTAATATTACCGTACATAATATGATTTTAATTTTCCATAGTATTTGAATCACAGTTTTATAAGCCATGTATTAGTATTACATTAAGACATGTTATAGCGGAAGCTTATAAAGGTGTAACCAAGAGACAAGTCAGATGGTTGCTCGATTAAAAATATCTCTGTGAGGTATCAACGTTGAATCAATCTTGTGCATGGTTTTCGTGACATTTTAAAGGTAATTTTATTTGATTATGTTTCTGTATTTACTCTCATCCCTCTTATTTATTACTAGCGTCTATAGGATTTCGTCTTTGGAGACAAAATATATACGATTTGAATCAAATAACCAACGAATTGATTTATGAAAATTACGTTTCTTAAACAGATTTGTTTGTGTTTATACTGTCTTCATCTATCTTTATGAGAATGAATAAATATGACCAAAACCTCAACTACTCTTTGTATATAGGCCCGGTTTTATTAATTAAAGCTTGTTCCGAAGTCCCAGCGGTTTGACGTTTTGTCCCGGTTCATCCTGAAAAAGTACAGTACATCGATTACATCTCTTCATTGTTAACATTAGCGAGGTTGCGCCCGAAGTTTTTACAGAGGTTGCGGCTGACGTTTTCAGCGCGAAAACGTGAACGTCGGATGTTCGGCGCCGCCTTCCTGTGAGCCTAGAAGTTTGACATTTGGAACGTCGAGTATGATTCCACTGACGTTCCAAACACCATTTAAAACGTAAACGTGAAAGATGAAAACTTCGACCGCAACCTCGCTAGCAATTATTCTACCGTACTGAAAACGTTAATAAGTGGACGCTTAAAAAAATTTTATTTTTTTACTCTTTCCGCCCTGTGGGCACTAAGAGGGCCTCTTATAGCAGGCCCATTATGAGTTCGGCCGGGCCCAGAATTGGGCGGCTGGTTGGCGAGGGATAGGGATCGACGTATCCCCCGAAAAATTCCTGGGGATTTTTCGACTCATCCAGATTTGATCCCGGATCCCCCATGGCGGTAGGCTGCTACATTGACCTCTCGGCCATCCGGCCTCAACTCCATTGTGGGTTCGGCCAAGCCCATAATGGGGCGGCCGGATGGCGAGAACGAGATCTGACATATACAGGACGGATCGATTTCCAACAATTTAAAGTTCGAACGACCTCCTGAAACGAATTAAGTTCGAATTACGAAGTGCCACTGTAATTATGAACGTCGTATTCAAACTCAAGTCTTGAGTTTGAATACGACGTTCTTAAACATTGAAAATGAATAAAAATATTTATACTAATAATATATAAAAAATAATTAATAATTACAATAATCTTTCAGTAATTAATATAATAAGATTATGATAATGACATTATCGTTAAAAAAATAAAAATATTTTTGGGCTATTTTTAATGATTTGCCGTAAGGTTAATGATATTACGTTAGGTTAGTTTAGGTTTGAACGTGATGATGTGGAGAAGTGAGTTCCTTTGTTTTATAAAGATACAATAGTAACAAAATGGTCGTCTGTCGGTATTTTCTTCAAGGAAATTGTAGATTTGGAGACAACTGTTGGAACGAACATATTGGTAAGTTTTAATGGCGTTCGTTTTATACATAGACTAAGTAAAAATGTGGGACAAGAAACTATATGGAACAAGTTCGTGATTGAATCTATTAGTCGCGTATTCTTGCTCAGGTAATTTCGAGTTCTATAATCGAAATTTTACTTGTTCGTATTAGCTATTGTATTTGTAAGAGTTGGCATAGATTCAAAGTATTCTGAATACGAATTATGATGATAAATGTCGTAACACGGCCTTCGTTAATTGCTCTTCTCTAATTACGTTATTGTATAATAGCGATTGCTGTACGGGGTACATTTCTAGGTGTATACGTTACAAATTTCGGGAAGTCTTAACATTTTTTTTTTCTTAGAAAAGTCACCAAAACATACTAAAACACGTGGCTGAATATGACTACATGAAAGATAGATTGCTAGTATATAAATAATCAGTTTTTATAGAAATGTGAATGACTTTCTGACATTGGAATAACTTATATCTCATAATATACAGTATCGGAGATCAAATTGAAATATAACAGTTTTAGAATTTAACGAAATTAGAAAGTGTGGGATTACAGAGTAGTCTTTATTGTGAAAAAGAATGCTGGTAATTGTCTATTGTGTATGTCTTGATTGTAAGTAAAATCAGGAGAGAAAACGTTAGTGTATTGGTTAAACGTAAATAATTTTTAAATTTGAAATTATAAAATCAGGTATAAAAATTATAATTTCAAATTATTGCAAGTCTTATTCTTTTAGATGGGAAAACGGTGGAACCCAATTAACCAAAATCGGTTGCGGAAAAAATTCAGACTTTGGGTTAAGTTTCGAGTTATGGAGGTTTGGCTAAAACTCTAGATTTTGTGTACTAGTTTGTTGGTGATCCGTAATAAAATATCCGTGCAATATTTTCATAGATCTTATTACATAGAATTGTTGTTGATGTAAACATCTTGAAAAGATGTAGCTGAATGGTTAAATAATCTACTGAAAAATGCTTTTCCAATGGTTGATCCATTTATTAAATTGTGATATTTAGTACCTAGAATCAATCTGCTTGTTATTTTTTATCATAAACGTGCCACTCTATTATTTATATTTAAAAAAAATTTTTTTAAATTCATCAAAAATTCATTTATGTCAGCTGTCGGAGAAATCCATCAACAATCAAATAAAATTTGATGGTTTATTAGATAGATGAATATTAATATTTTATTTAAATTAAAATTTCAGAGTTTATGAATATACTGTATCAAAATACCATTTGAGTTAAACAGTTTGATGAATTTGAGCTTACCAGCTTGATTTAGTGTGTAAATCGCTATGCTAGATGATTGAGGAAAGAAAATGGCTTTGAATTAACCAGTTTCCACTATGTACAGTTAAACTTCAATTCAGCCCATTGTTTGCTTTTGAAATTGATACAAAATGAGCATTGCACTAACTGAAGTATCTCAAACCATCTTTATTTTTGAATTGTACTTGAGTAATATAATATAAATAAATGTCTTAAATGATTGGCAAGGAAATTAAATGTAATGATTGAAAAAAGTATATATTTTCATAGTTATAAAATACAGTTGATGATCAGTTAGCAAACAAATCAGACAACGAACACTTTCACTAAAGATTTTTATGTTAGGACAACAAACACATGTTCAGATAATGAACACTTCACAGAACAAACACAGGAAGAAGTGACATAAAATAATGAATACCCATTGGTCTTCCCTTGTCTCGAGGTGACAATTCAAAACCTTTCAGAGTGTGGGAGACATTGACGCTCAACCTGATACGGATTGGATAGTATTCCTCTGAACTTTGAAACTCTCCTTTGTAATTCCAGCCTTTTGTTTACCTTTCTGACAGAAAGAATTTTTTATAGTCTTTGTGAGACTGTCAGGCACTTGTTAAGTTTTTTTTGAAAGATGAGAGTTTAACTGTCCCATCAGATATTCGTTAATGCTTTAACACTAAACTTTGAATTTTATATAGGCCTTATATTTACATAATTTTTTTGTGCACTAGTTGATTTCTGTTTTCTGAATTTTTGTAAGGTCTTTTCTGAACTTGTTATTAAAAAAGAAACTGATTATATTATGTAGCCTAAAAAGATTAGCATTTCAAGAACTGTGCTCACCATAGAAACTAAGCATAAAATAATAGCAAAGGTAGAGAGTGGATAGATGATATCTGATGTTGCTAGGCAGTATGGCTTGAACAGGTATACAGTAGGTACAATTTTAGCTAAGAAAGATGTAATCAAGAAGATTCCAGCAGCTAAAGGAAGGAGTAACAAAAATCACATCTGAGAAACAAAGATGTGCCATCCATGAAAAAAATAGTTATTGCTTTTAATTTAGATAAAACAAAGGGAAATGAAAAGAGATATAACTAGTATGACTATCATTCAAGAGAAAACTAGATAAATTTTTGAAGAACTGAAGAAACAAACTCTACATTTGCCACATGAGGATACAGAATTCAAGGCTACTACAGGATGGTTTGCAAAGTTTAAAAGATCTGACATTAAACATAATTCAAGATGAGTCTTCTAGTGCAGATAAAGAAGAAGCTGAGAAGTTCTGTCTCAAATTTGAAAAATTCATTAAAAAAGAAGGATATTGTCCACAAAGATTTTTAATTGTGATTGAACTGGTTTATTTTTGAAGTTTATGCTGAACTGTACCTACATTATGAAAGAAGAGGAAAATATTCCTGGGCATAAACCTGTGGAAGACCAATTGACGTTACTTTTGGAAACTAATGCTAGTGATGATATGAAGCTTATCTTGCTTCTTGTCTATCACTTTGAGAAACCTAGATCATTAAACAAAATTCCATAATTAAAGAAAGATTGATCACTGGTGACGTAGAGATCAAATAAAAGGGCATGGTCATGCAGGCTCTTTTCAAATAATGACTGTTTGAAGTTTGTGCTAAAAGCATCAAGGATTCCTTCAGACCTATGAATTGCCATTGAAAGTACTGTTGCTATTGTATAATGCACCAGGACATCCAAAAGATCTTGAAGATAATTTGCTGAAGACTTTTCCTGACTTCAATTTCTTCCTCCGAATACCACTTCATTTATTCAGCCAATGGCTCAGGAGGTTATTGTGGGTTTGTTTCAAGAAATTGTACTTTCATGCACTGTTTTGTCAATGTTTTGTAGCATGCCAATTCTCAATGATGACATTAAAAGTATTTTGGAAAGAAAAATTTGATATTTTTGAAGCTATCTGGCTTATTCAAAAGGCTTAGTCAAAAGTCACTCAATGACAGTTGAATTCTGCTTGGCAAAAGCTGTCTCTCTCTTGCATTCAGGGAGACAGAAATGATGTCCCTGAAATTACAGATGAGTTGGTGGCAACCACTAGAGATCTGGAATTTGAGGTGAATGAAGATGACATTGAAGAGCTTATAATGGAAACTGATCTGACAACAGGAGAATTCCAAGAACTCTTCAATTAAGAACACCAAGAAACTTAGTGAGATGTGTTTTCTTCTGAAAGAAAGGAAGACAAAAAAAAGGACTAATGCTGACATCTGCTATTAAAGATCTTTTGAAGAAGTAGGAGGATGTCAGAACAACAATCTTAAAATGTCATCCAAACTAGGTTGAGGTTAATAGGATTGGTGATCTCTGTTACAACAATGCTGTTAATTACTTCTGAAAAATCCCCAAGAAGAGAGAAAAGCAATCAATATTGGATAGATTCTTTAATGCCCCACAAATGGATAAAAATGTAAGACTATGTATATATGTATGTATTATTTATTACATATAAATAAACATAGTAAGAAGGTATATAACTTTTTATTTATTTTTTGGGATCTCCAGAATGAATTACTCAAATTTTTATAAAAATGTATGGTAAATCGATAATATTGGTTAACATGCAATTTGGGTAGTGATCATGGTCTTGGAATGGATTATGTTCATTAATCAATCATCCGCTGTATAGTTCAAGCACATAATACATTGCTAGATTTTTAATACACAGTACCATCATTTGATGACATATTTGAGAAGTTTTGCTGGGGAATTGCCAATATATCTGCATGTCTGATTACACAATTGATATTGCATTTTCATTTCTTAACTGAGATTATCAGCAACTATTCTAAACAATTTGCATTCTGATAATGCAATTAGAAATAGAACAGTAGTTTTCTATTTTAAACATGTCAAAATGATGGTAGTAAGTCCTTAAAATATATAGCATCATCTTTAGTTGTAAAAAAAACATATTTTTTTTTGAGTTGCTGTTTTTAATGTGTACAATATTACAAAAAACTTTATATTATTTAAGCAGTCTGAAAATGTTATATTGGTCATCCTTAAAACTACACTGTACTCTGAGAGTGGCACTAGATTGAGGTTTTCTGTATTTTATTATGATTTATATATTATTTTATATTTAGAAATAAAATTGTGTTTTTAATACCTTATATATCTATTAAATAATAATAATGACATTATTCAATTAAAAAAATTTCTACTTCTCAAATTAACAGTGTTTTCAATTTTCTTAAAAGTAGAAGAAACATTTATTATTTAACAAAGGTTATTGATAAAATTTCTTAAATTATATTTATTTGATTGGATTAGTGTCTTGTTAAAACATTTCTGATATTTTTTAAGGTTTGTTGACAAGACTATGTCTTGTTTATAAAATTGTACTGCCTGCTGTGTTACCAGCTTAGAGGTATGAAGGAGTACATGTCAGGAGTTGCAATTTGGCACAGAATATTAGGTGCTCAAATCATGCGTGCATAAAAAGAAAAACAGACTTGTAGATACTCAGGACTTGAGAACAAAGTAAAAATAAAATACAAAATGGCAACTCTCTCTACAAACAGGCAAACTGATGTTAGGTGGTGAGAGTACCACACACAGTGGTTCTAGGAAGTGGACTCTGACCCTAATACTGAACATGTAGTATTTTCTTTGTTAAATAAAATTTGTAATCTAATTTTGTAAATTTGGGAGTGTTTCAAATATGACATTAAAACAGG